CCCCCCCACCACTCTCTTTAAAAACACTACACCTCAACACATAACCCCCTCCGCCGTTCCCCTGAAACTGCATTTTTACTTTCTCGTATATACGAAGTATAGAGAAAGTCTTGTGATCGTGCAAAAAAAAAAAATCGAGATTTTTTACAAATCTCGACGATTTACACCTCACTGATACGGAAAAACATAATTTTGCAATCTTGTCCGTATGCCTGTGTCTGTGTGTGTCTGTGTGTAAACACGATTACTTGAGTACCGTTACAGCTAGGTTGATGAAATTTCATATATAAGTATTTTATCAAAATCATAGATCCGTATAAACTTTTGAGTGATTTCCGATAACCGAAAGTGGTTCTTTTTCTACTTTGAATTTTTCAAAAGCCTATAACTTGAGTACTATTGCAGATAGATAAATGAAATTTCACATGTAAGTAAAAGATCTAATTCTCTACCTTCTGTCAAATTTTGAGTAATTTCCGTTGACAGGAAGTACTAATTTACGCTATTTCCGATTTCTCAAAAAACGCACGTAAATTTATAAAGTACTAATAATGTTGCGCACTATTATGCACATCTTTATTTGACGTTCACTTGGTGTGCAATTCTTTTTTCTACGACGTTTTATTCTATTTTAAAAAGTTTAAGTATTTAAAATGGATTAAAAATCATGTCTATATCCCGAGTTGCCATTCCCCGTAGTGTTATATTAGAATATTCGAGAAAGTTTAGGGGAGATCACTCCCGGTTTATTATAATATGTACTGACCTCGATAAACATTGAGTTAATAAATGAATTAATACCAAAAGCAATCTTTTAAAGCCCGAAATAACGGATGAAAGCAAAAATGTTTCGTCACACTTTCCGATCATCCCTTCCCATAAATGAAAAAAAAAAAGCCTGAACATACTAAAGGAGAGTATGGATGTTGATGGAGGATCCCAACGTTAAAAATTAAAGCAGCGCAAAATTTCAGGAATCCATGTTACATATTATTATTTTCCGTAGGTATAACAAAGGTATTTACATTGTGTTTTATATTTTACGAGCCGCTATCATATGCCGCTATTTAGTTGTTTCATTTTCTACTTTTCAGTAATTCATAATTTGTGAATTTGACAGTAACAATGCTGCCACTGAAAATATTTGCTTTAAAACACTATCAGTAGCTCGTTAAGGACGATAACCCCCCCCCCCTCCCCACCCTCCTTTCCCAAAAATCCTACCCCCCCCCCCTCCTCGTGAAAGCAGCCCCCTCTGAGTTACCTCCACTAAGTTTAAAATCGTTTCAAACTAAATTATCTGCCCCTAATAGCTGTCACTAAACCCGGCTCTATGATTGTAAACATTTAGCTTGAACCACAGCTCACCAGACCATGTAGGGATGGGGGTGGTAGGGATAGAGAGAAAGAGAGGGGGCTGCTAGGGGCGCTTACAGCTTGGTGTTTTCTATGGTATCCATGAAGAGAATTATTTATATAGAAGAAATATATATTAAACCAGCGTACCCGTCCCGCGCGTTGCTGCGGTCTCAGAAGACAGACTGACGCAATATTTTAAGAGGATTCCATAATTACATTAGCAATCACGTATTTTTTTACGCTTGACATTGATTTCTAAATCTAAACAATTTAAATGTAATCAAAGCCGGTGTTATATTGCTTTCATCATAGTTGTTGAGGCGCAAATTCTACCGCACACTGTAGCCCATTGTATCCATAATGTATCGCACTCTTTAAAACGAACGTAGGCGCAATAGTGTTTATGAGGGACCCACACAGGGGCACTAGACCACACGCCAGTGGTGCAGTAGACAAAAAATTTCCCTACTGTAGGGCGCTCTTTTAAAACTCATAGTGTTCCTCCCGAAGCCAGTGGCGCATCGGGTCAAACGAATTGTCATCGAATGTCGTGTGCCACAGGGTCAATATTGTAGAGTGCTCTTTAACACAACCTTAGGATATCTCAGGGCGCCAAATCGCATCCTGCCGGGGCGCCGGCAGACGCGCCTGATTCCATATAGTCAAAAATTATTGTTGCCCATCGTGTCTTTAGTGTATAAATTAAAAAAAAAACGAACGTAGGCGTCATAGTGTTCACATGGTAGCACGGGGCGCTTCGAGTTACGTAATATCCGGGGCGCCGGCGGCTGCGCCTGTTGTTGCTTTTTTACCTTAGCCCCCATGCAGTTTTAATATCGCCGCCCTGGATTTTCAGGCGCCAAGCCGTTTATTAACAAAAATCGCACCCTCCACGGAAACGCCCATAATAAATTTTAATTTTTGTTTTCGCAGAAACCTTCTCGTGAGTGTTTTCATTAACTCTCGAAAGTTTAACGGCACTCAGATAAACGATGTCAAACAGCATCCGTTTTGTTTTTTACAAACTGTGTAGAGAAAAATTGCACCCTCCAGAAGCGCCGCCCTGTTAAAATAAAAAAAAAAATAACCTCCCCTGAAGTTTTATGGCGAGCGGATGAACGGGATTAAACCGCAATCTACTTTTACGTATATATACCCTATATAGGGATCTATATATAGAATCGATTCGCGCCCTGCTGGGGCACCGTGCTTGTGAAATATATCCAGTGGTATTCTTAACTTAAGTTGCATGACCATAGGATGAAAGGTGTAGTGCTGCATAGAGGACATAAACAAACCCACAAACAAACAAGCAAAACTTCATTATATATATACATAGAGAGAAATATAAATAATTCTACATATGCATATATATATATATATATATATATATATATATATATATATATATATATATATATATATATATATATATATATATATATATATATATATATATATATAGCTACATTTGGTGACTTCCCATTTTCCCCAATGGCGTCAAATTTTGCACATAATCCACCTATTAATTCATGTGAAAAAAAGCATCGTTTTCATCGTAAATTATTAGATTTTGGTATCAGCCTCTCTCCGGTCGTCGCTTAGCAAATCTGTTATCCAAAAATTCAACAAGCATGTATTCACCTGTACATTTTGCAGTTTGTGTCATCTCCCCTCACCCCCCCCCCCCTGAATGATAGTTTTTAAACGTGCACAGTTAATTGTATATTTTTTTATCTGCAGTCAGTTATTAGTACAGTTAACTCTCATTAGTCATTTATTGAACTGGCAAAATGCTTACTTCTTCTATATATTTTGCTATTTTTCGCCATGGTGTCACCCCCGAAATTTTGCCACCTTGCGCAGTCCTCAGCCCCGCCCCCCCCCAACCTTGTGACGCCTCTGGTTAGGGATACTACTTGAGTACAGTAAATATGTATATATATATATATATATATATATATATATATATATATATATATATATATATATATATATATATCGGGGGGGGGGGGCATAGCCCCTTGGCACACCTTGTACCTACGCCACTACATAATCATGTTCTTAAGATTATATAGCACATTCTATGTATAAATTCGATAAAAATAGCTATTACGTATTCTGCAATTTTATATTTGTAATAACATATTGTAAACGAAATGAGTCTTAAATTCGAATAAAAAATGGGCCTTTATATTATGTATTTTTTCTATTTTGCAATCATATCATGTATTACTTGTTGTATAGCCTAGATTCTATAATAATATACTAATATATTCTATATTACATAATCCTATATTATATCGTTTAGTAATCTCTACCCTAATGTTTTCTATACCGAATAATCAATATTCTGTAATTCTAAATTGTGTATAAATTAATCACACAATCTCTAAAATTAATCATAACTATGATCACAATTAAATTCAGCAATCCACTGTATTAATTTATATTGCTAAAAATAATTTAATTTTCAATTTTAAAGACAGAAGATACATTTTTTATAATATTAATTATTATTAGCTCTGTAAAATGAATGGTTGTTTAATTTTTCTTATATTAAATATTTTAAGCGATTAATTAATCGAAATGGTTTTATTCCGTTAGCTAGTTTTTACAGTTTATAACTATAATTAGAGTCTCAACGACAGAATCAAATGAGAAAAAATCTATAGCGTTATTATATATCGACACTGTTGATAAGCCACTCAACGACAGTGTCGTTGAGAATAGTGTAGGATCGGCTGCCTGATCCATAGTGTCAGTTTAGAGATCGGAGTGGTCGGGTCGGTTAAGCTCATGTTTGCGAAATCGTCAAGTCCCGAGTTCGAACCCCCGGGCAGATGAGGCTCGATAGATGGGGACAGCCACTCATCAAGGAGAGACAACTCCAAAATCAAACAACTGCTGCCTTGTAGTTTGTTCTTGGTTGGACAAAGGCTATGGAAACAAATCCAAAAAGAAAAGCAGGCTGAAATCGGAGTCAATTGCCACAATGGCGCATAACCAGTTGACACGTATACTTAATTGTGTTGGAGGGAATCCCTTTAAACACTAAAATTAAGAATGATGAAAAAGAAGAAGAATGTAAGTTCAAAAATGCGTTGGATCATACTGCAAATATCATAGGGGATAAAATATCTCCAAAAACTGATTTACAAATCTTAATTTATCGATATAGAAATACAGATTTAAGTATTGTGTTCAGCACAATGCGTATGACTGAGGTCATACATTTATTTACTCAATCATCATTAAACGAAGATATACTGTTTGAGTGATAGAAATGTATTTTTTAAGGCATCAGTACCAGTTAGTGTGTTAGGTCTAATAATATGCAAAAGTAATCCGACAAACTAACACGTTTCCGCAGCGGAAGAACAGCAATGTAGGAAAGTATTAAATGTTTTAACGAAAAAAAAGATAGAAAATTCTATAAGTATAAACTCTAAAGTCACAAAATTGTCTAAAGAAATGTAAGCCGAATTTCTTTTTATTTTAAATATTGTTTACAAGTGGAATGTGCGTTTCATTATACACCAAAAAAATGCAAAGAAAAACATGCATATAGACATATTTATGAAATCTATATTGTTCGTAAGATATAAAAAAACAGTAAAAAATTCGACAATATAATTTTGAGGGTTTATATAACATTTAAGTAACATATTTGAAATAAATAAAATGCAGGCGTTTTATCTAAACGTTAATTAACAGTTTGGTATGACATATATGTTATTTCCTTCTAAACTTCATTTCTATTTCGTCCACAGAATCTTCCCACCCAGTGACATGATACCAGGTCAGTCCACTGTAAGCTTTAGCTTTCCACACACCTGTGGGGTGGGAAAGGTGGCAACCATAGTACCACCAACCGCCTTTATAACCGATGGCACAAGCACTTTGGCTTGGATCCCCGTCAAAAGTAGAAAACACTTTGTCTTTGTGGTATGTCAGCGAGTCCCCAGCATCGCCCCTGTAGTTCCCTATCCTCAATCTGTATCCATCCGCTTCACTCTCTACTTTAAAACTATCGTAGACGGCGTAGTAAGATTTCTCTTTGTAGCGCATATCAGCTCTCAACTCAAAGTTACCCTGAAGTTTTCAAAGAAGAAAAACCATTTTTAAACTATGCGATCGCTAAATAGTCACATGTTATCATTGTAGCATCTGTGAATTGTACTATCTTTAGACTAAATAACATAAATCTGTGTGTACCAAAAATTGTATTACAAAGGGTGACAACCACGTCTCTATCATGGCACCTAGTTCAAGATGATCAACGTCTGACAACTTCCAGGTTGTTTTTGGCCTATTGCTAGTTTCCCCATGTGAACTTTATTTTCTGGCTGTATACAGTGTGAAACTTACAACTTGTAAATGTATTCGACGTTTGTAAAATTTTAAGTCACTTTATGTTTGATACTGAGCTGTAGTAGAGTATGTGTGTGAGAGAGAGCGAGCGTGCGTCTGTGTGTGTGTGTGTGTACGTGCGTGTGTGGGTTGGAGCATGGAGGATGTGGCGCCGGCGTGGTCTAGATGTTGAATATCCGTTTGTTTACTCGGAAAGTCAAGAGATCGAAACTGACCAAAGACCGTAGACCGTTCCCCGATTGAACTGCCCCACTAGATAAACAAACTGGACTGTATTTGAGGAGAAGGAACAAAAAACCTGTCGGAAACCCGAAAATATCATATTCTCTATTCTTCTGCCGCCTATAGCTGTAAAAACATCCGAAGGGGACAAACGCCAGAATGGGCACTTGCCAGAATTATGTTAATAAATGGACACTTGCATTAGGTCAAATGTCAATACGGGATAGCCTTTCGAACATACGGCATTCGGGCAAGTGTCTTTTGGGAGTTTGTCGTAGACCTTCTTCATACATGAATCTTACTTCGTATGTTGTTCTTTGTCAGGATAGTTACCAAGAATTACGAAATGGATGCCTGAAACTTTTTAAACTCCTTGACATTAGAGGATACACACGATCCTTAGCCAACATAAAAGAATTTGGAAAATATTAATGAAAACTTTTGGTTTATTAAAATTTAAAAAATTCAAAAAAAAGTTTCAAAATAAATTCACCTCTGAGGTTATGTTTGCAACCAACTCATTTCCCAGCCAAAAGTCGCCATCAAAAGAACCAAATCCCCACTTATATTCCTCCCAGTTTCTGGTGAAGTTGACATCACCTATAATACGTCGCTGAAAAAAAATGTGTTTGTACATAAACATAAAATTCAACCACGTTGCTTACTTTACCTTTGATGTACGGTTTAAAAAAAAATTACATTTAAATTGAAGTACTAGAATACGTGACCTTTAGAAAAAGGTATACTCAGAACATAATATTTAGATTAATTTACTCACACCCAACACATGTACCCCTTCACTCCGACCCCGAAGAAAGAAACTGTCAAAAATATGAAGCTTAGGTTAAAATTATGATACTTTTTTTTCCACTTTATGCTTTGTTTTATTTCTCCTGAATCACCGCTAATAGCTTGTTTTCCCGAAACTCCGTTTTCAAAGATTTACATTTTAAATTTAAATGTTCTATTTTAAAATATGATCGTAGCGTGGGATTAAAAAAAAATCTTACCACCATAACGATCCATCCTCCGCCGTCAGTGTACGTATCACATAATATTTTCTGATCTTTAGAGTGAGTCAACACAATTCGTTGTGGCAAACTAGATGACATATGTCCTTTTTCGCACTTCATCTTTAAAGATCATTATTTAAATCTAGTAAAGTGATATACTCGTATACATTTAATTGTATGCAGTGGCGTCGCTAGGTCGGGTATATATATATATATATATATATATATATATATATATATATATATATATATATATATATATATATATATGTATATATATGTAGAGAAAGGGGATAAGGGAATATATATATATATATATATATATATATATATATATATATATATATATATATATATATATATATATATATATATATATATATATAAAACCGTGTACCTCTACAGTAATAGTGTTGTTAATCGCCTCGACATTATTTTTTTTACTACACTTGTCTGCAAGGCTCTGGATACGAAAACACAACGCATTGGTAAGGTTTGTTTCCTCCATTGCGTCACATAGGTCTTGTTTGTTGTCTTTTGATGATGTCAAGTTGTCTGTACGTTCTTCGCCAATCTTTGCGCCAAACTGGGGAGATTTGTCCGTTAAATTTTTAATGATCTCATCGAACTTATCGTGCATGGTTTTAAATTTGGTTTCAAATATTTCTTCAATCGTTCTAAATTTATTTTCAATTTGTTTCGTTAAATTTCCTTCGATATTTTTAAGTGCTTCTAGTTGAATCTCATGGTGTTTGGTGGTACCTAGATCTTTACGCAGGTTTCCGATTTCTTTGCCTAACTGAGAAAAAGTGTTTGTTAGATTTAGATTGAGTTGTTGAAATTTTATTTCTATCTCCTGCGTTAAATTAGATTCCAAAATTTGTAAAGTATCTAATGTAATTTCAGCGTTTCTGGATATTAGTTGTCCCTGTTCTGATTCGTTGAAACGTGTAACCTCTGACATAATCTCCGAAGAATCCTTGGACATTTTATCGCAACTTGTCTCCAAACTTTTCCCTTTATTTCTGAAAGCAAGGGGCTTGTTTGACCACGGGACTTCCAGCTGTAAGGAAAACTTCAGGTCCGGACTAGACTCGTCTGCTGTCGGTGGCGGGAAAACAAAAACTTCTCTCACGTCTGCACGCCCGTGGGGGTCAACAAAATACAACTGGCAGAGGAAGGCGCCGAGACCACACCCAGACGTCCCCTCCACCGACACAGTAAGTTTAGCTGTGGTTTGGGTCATCTGTCCAGCTGCCTTGTACGGACTGTCCTTGTCCTTTTGTAAACCTTGCTCTGAAAGATGAGCGATGATGACCTTTCCACTTCGCTCACGGATGCTATAAATAGACATGTTGGCAATAGACGTGACGTGACTTTCAGTATCCTGTACACACACTAGTTGACCGCAGTAAATTTTGTGAGCCTCCAAGTACATTTCCGTGTCCATTGTCATCTTAAACCCTGTGAAATAAGTATCACATTATAAAACTGAAATAAGTATCACATTATAAAACTGAAATTAGAATCAAATTATAAAAACTGTTTTTACAAAAAAGTAAGCATTTAAAAAATTATGAAGTCGAGTATAAATTAAAAACCAAAACAAAATGTAGGCTTGTATATTTTGTAGGTATGTATGGCATAGGCTTATGCTGTATTATCTGCATCAAGTTTATTCACCTTGTTAGGTACTAATAGACTCTGGCTATTCTAATAGTTATACGATATGACCTTGCCTTGTCTAACTATCTAGCAAAATTAATATACAGAAAATAGAAAGCCCTCAAAACGTACAGTGATAAACTTACAAACTGAACATTTAAAAAAAAAACAATCTCCAATCAGTAATATACCCGTCGTGTTTAAAGAAAATAAAACTCCATATTTTCGCTACAGATGCCAATACCCTAGACAGGCGCCTTCCGTTACTTCTTTTTCATTTTTCACATTAATTGTCTAAAATGGTGCCACCGTCCTAAGCATTCCCCCCCCCCCCCCGCGTTACACCTTTATCTTGACAGTAAAGTCACGGTAAAGTCATAGCCGTATTGTATCAATACCGACGATATTCTGCGTTATACAGTACTGCCAATACTGACATAACTACTCATTAATAAGCACATTGTCTTACTTCGAGGGTACAAACCTGTTCTAATGTAATTGAAAACCTGATAGATTATTTATCTGTTTATTTTACGTTATTAAGTTTTTGTTTAAATACTACAAAGAACATTTTCTTATTTGTTGTGCACTGTTAATAGGCCTACTGCCCCAGAAAGATTTTGTTTTTTAATAGTTACATTTTTATACAGAAATAATAATGTAAATTATCGTTCAGCTACTTACCATAAACATTGACTAAGGATACGAATATAAAATAACAAAGCAGCATGAGCCGCATTTCTGATGGTTAAATTATGAAAGATTGTTTAGATTCCTGCTTGAATTCGAGAAGTGAAATAACTTAATGAGCCAGTTAAGCTCTCTTTATATAAATTAGCGGTCCTTATCTTTTTTGTTATCTTCAACAACGGATCTCATTTTTTTTGGATGGCGCGCACATTTTATAAATGATCAGACATTTCAGCTACTAAAAAAATGTATTTGTGTTTTTTTACCTTTCTTGGTGTAATTTATAGTCCTCGCCTATATTTCATTACTTAATGATTTTTTAGATTCGTTGCAGATGTTTGTAGAAAACCATCTTGTCATTATTGACTCTATCAGTCGTCAATAAATGACAACAAGCTACTACGGGAGAGGGTCGGAATCTTGCTAATATTTAGGACGTCATACTTATGGACTTAAAAACGATAACAGGATAACAGATTGTAATAGAAAATGATTAATATGCTCAATGTTGTCCAAGCTCAAATTAAAAAAAAAAAGCAATCGAAGTTTAAATAAACCGGGAGTGATATCCCCTAAACTTTCTCGAATATTCTTATATAAAACAGCAGGGGATGGGAACTCGGGATATAGATCTAGTTATGATTTTTAATCCATTTTAAATACTTAAACTTTTTAAAATAGAATATAATCTCATAGAAAAAAGTATTGGGCACCAAGCGAACGCCGAACGCAATATTATTAGTACTTTATAAATTTAGAGGCGTTTTTGAGAAATCGGAAATAGCGTAAATTAGTACTTCCCGTCAACGGAAATTACTCAAAATTTAACAGAAGTTAGAGAATTAGATCTTTTACTTACAGGTGAAATTTAATTCCTCTATCTGAAATAGTACTCAAGTTATAGGCTTTTGAAAAATTCAAAGTAGAAAAAGTACCACTTCCGGTTATTGGAAATCGCTCAAAAGTTGACACGGATCTACGATTTTGATAAAATACTTATATATGAAATTTCATCAAACTAGCTGTAACAGTACTCAAGTTATCGTGTTTACACACACACACACAGACACACACACACACAGACACACAAACATACGGACAAGATTGCAAAATTATGTTTTTCCGTATCAGCGAGGAGTAAAACACGATTACAATACTTTCTCTATACTACGTATATACGAGAAAGTAAAAAGCAGCAACAGCAATTTAGGGTGGGGGTTGGGTATGACGTCATTTTAAGGATGGAGGTCTAGGTATGTGTGACGATGTGTGACAACGAAGAGGCCCGAGGTAAAAAAGCGGGACGTCAATTATGGACGAAACCCCCCCCCCCCCCCCCCCCAACCCACATTAACTTATAACAGTCACAAATCAACTAAAATTGTTTACGCTCGCCACCTGACGCTAAATTCGAAGCAGCCTGTTCTAACTCATGAACGATGTGTTGGTAAACATGAGAAGATACGGCCTATATGTAAAGCCTAAACAAAAATCTTACAATACGTAAGAAAAATATGGGGGAACCGCTGAATTTCACACTTTATGATTTCCGTTCCAAAACATACACATTCTTAATGTTACTAATATTACATTTCTGCGAAACAAACACTTCAGAAATTCAACTTGGTATTGGATTATTATTTTAGAATTATACTCCACATCATACTTATATCATCCACCAAGTGCCACTTAAAGTGTGTCATTTATGTTCCGGTGTCGCGACAGGTCCTTAGCCAGATCTCCCGATTGCGTTACGGATTTAAATTATGAAACACTTCAACAAAACAAACACTCTCTACTTGACTGGGTTGTACCAGTCAAAAGCATGCACATTTATTTAGCACTTGGTATCAGTTTGTTTTTCAGACATGAAATTTCCGGAGTGGCGGTGAGGGGGACGAGAGTTAACATTTCAAGTGGGGGAATTAAAGTATTTAATTTCTATTAAAAATTATATAATTTTTCTATTTCGTTTTGTTTATGGGATTGGATTAGGGTGGGGTTTGGAAACGGGGGTGGGGTAGGTGGGTGGGGTAGTTTAATGGGAAATAGGGGTTGGGGGTGGGGGCTAAACCAGATGGATAAAAAATTAATTCTAAGCTGCATTACCGAATAATTCAAAGTCAAAGTTTAAGCAAACTAAACTTCTACTTGACTTTACGGGTTTGATTAGCAGTTTTCTACATCAAATATGTGATGCCAAAACATTCACACACATTTTTTCCCCCTCGGAGTGTGACCAGAGTTTCTTCCAGGCATCTCTTTTAGGAGTGGGGGGAGGGGGGCTTGCCCCTCCCGCCAAAAAAGTCTACAGCCCCCTCCCCCAAACGAAATGGAATTTATATAGAAAACATACACTTTTACCAGTGTCCGCCCCCCTCCCTCGGAAAATGTTGTTCGTCCCCCCACCCCCGAAAATATCAAGAGCCCCCCCCCCCTTCCCGGAGAAAAAAGTCGGGAACAAAAAAATAGTGTGACATGGTTCACGAACTACCCCAGATATGCTGTAGGTGCATCTGGACAACCTTTACTTTTCTTATCGTCTCACAAGGCACTACTGTCCCACAGCTAACTGTTTGAAAAGTACAAAAAAAAATCAGATTCTCACTTTAGTGCCTACACTCTGGGAAGATAAAGGTTCACTACTCCATCAGTGATATCTTTTTCGTCTTCGATTTTTCTTATCTGAATGATTGGTCATACACAGTTTCTCCCCATGCTTGTGTCCTTTGTTATTTGTTTCGTTTCTGAACAATTCTTTCCATTTTTTTCTTTGAAAACTTCTCTGCGCTAGGTTTTTTTATCCCTCTTCTTTTGGTGGATCTTTGTGTTATATGCTTTATTTGAAATTTATTGCTAATACTAGTTGCCAGTTTCTTCAAATTACGGCTGATCTTTATCGCATCAGTTATATACCCGTCGTTAATTTAAAAAAAAAACTCCATCTTTTCGCTATCCTGGGAAACACAGATGGCAATTTCAATACAATATCGTCATCATTTTTTTCTTGCATTATTGAGTGACAGTCTTCGTGTTTTTTTTAATTTCTTGTGCCACTGTCCAAAACAAGCCCTCTCACCCCCCCCCCCTCCTCCGCTACGCCTGCATACTGACAGTAAAATGCACGGGGTGGGGTACTTCGTGCTTAAAACAGTGGTATTGTATGTTGAGTGGGGGGGGGGGGCGCTCAACGGTTTAGGAATATTAGGAAATAATTTAAAATTTGACATTTTTCTGTTAAAAATTCAGGGAAACTACTAGTTGAGAGCTGACATGCGCTACGATGGCACATTTTACTACGCCGTCTAAGACAATTTTAAAGTAGAGAGAGAGAAGCGGATGGATACAGATTGAGGATAGGAAACTACACTGGCGATGCCGGTGAGACGCTGACATACCACAAAGACAAAGTCTAGTGTTTTCTACTTACGACAGGGATCAAAGCTACCGTAATTGCCCCACCGCTCTAAAAGGCGGATGGTGGTACCATGATTGCTACTTTACCCATCCCACAGGCGTCTGGAACACTAATGCTAGTCAGGGAGTGTTCTGGTATTATGTTACTTGGTGGTGGCATTCTTTAAGTGATATCGAAATGAAGTTTGGAAGAAAATAGTGTTAAGGTTTATGCTAACGTTATGCTATTATTTCGTTATCAGTTTTTGAAATTAAGTCTATTACACCCTTAAACTGCGTGCTTTTGCGTGTATTTCCCTTTTACTTTATTCAATGAGAAATACAATTTTAACTCAGATTAGTCATTTGAATGTATTTAAAGATGACTAAATTCAGTAATAAAGAGGGAGATAATAAGATTAAGTACTAGCCGACGACGTGAACTGTTTGGTCACGAAATAAGCAGGGACAGATAATTGTCTTTAAGAGATGGCAAGCAGCTTATCGGACTATAAAGCAATTGTAATATTCTTGGTCATTTGTGATGTCGACTTAATTAAATTAATTAAGAACGAAACATTTTAAAAAAAAGAACGTCATGATATTAGTATTTGGATGCGCGATGAGAACGGGGTCGACCTTGTGGGATCCAAAGACAATGACGATCCTTTATAAGTCATCGAACAGGACCGCATTAGTTCATTTAATCGTTTATCGCACTGGATAGATACGTAATAGACACGGACGACGACGATCATAATGTATGCAAAGACAATATTCACCATAACCGACGATTACTTGTATACTCTAACACAACATGTTGATGACTGATCTAAAGTCTTTCCCCAAACAACCAGATCTTACTCCCAAACGCACATTCCTTATGTACTTTGTCACACTGTCACACTCTTTTAATAATATAAATCATTCTACAACACACATACTTTCATACCCTTGCAGTGCACTGAAATACCATTAACAACTATAAGCTTTTTAAAAATTACGCTTATCAGGTATGCTGCCATTGTTTCTAAAAGTAGTATATTTTTTTCAAACAAGTTTTCTTAACAACCATCTGACCTTAAGGTTTCATACTTTAAAAATGTTTTCACAACTGGCAGCTACACACTAAGTCTATAAATCTGTACATCTGTCGGTATTTTTACAATATGTTGTGGGTGTATGCATGTTGGTCATATAAGCTCCTTTTAAAGTTTTATCGAAGGCTATATTGTCGGGTCGGTTAAGCTCATGTTTGCGAAACCGTCAAGTCCCGAGTTCGTATCCCCGGGCAGATGAGGCTCGAAAGATAGGGACAGCCACTCTTCTAGGAGAGACAACTCCAAAAACAAACAACTGTTGCTTTGTAATTAGTTCTTGGTTGGACAAAGGCTATGGAAGAAAGTATAAAAAAGCAGGCTGAAATCTGAGTCAACGGCCTAGTTGACAAGTTTTCCCTTTGAACACTAAAATTAAGAACAAAGAAGAAGAAGAGGAAGAAGATTGTCAGTTTAAAAATGTATTGGATCATACTGCAGATATCATAGAGGATAAAATATCTCCAAAAACTGATTCACAAATCTACATTTATCGCTACTGAAATACAGATTTAAGTATTGTGTTCAGCACACACATATGTGTACGACTGGGGTCATACATTCATTTTCTCGAATATCTATTGGGTGAGTGATAGAAATTTGATTTTT